TACACATATACACACATACACATACATATACATACATATATATATATATATATATATACACCTTGCTACGTGTACTGCGTTAGGCTAACCAGGACTTGTCATTTGCACTTATATATTGTTGCTCTTTTGTTAGTTTTGACTGCTTTTATTGTCCTCATTTGTAAGTCGCTTTGGATAAAAGCGTCTGCTAAATGACTAAATGTAAATGTTTCTTGAGCTGCAAATCAGCATATCAGAATGATTTCTGAAGGATCATGTGACACTGAAGACTGGAGACCTGAGTAATGATGCTGAAAATTCAGCTTTGCCATCACAGGAATAAATTCACAGTATTACTATTTCTACTGTTTATTTTTTATCAAATAAATGCAGCCTTGGTGAGCATAAGAGACTTTTAAAAACATACAAAAATCTTACCGACCCCACACTTTTCGAATGGTTCTGTTTTGCAGCCTCTCCACCTTGCTTTAATTTTTTAACAAACCGTTGCTTGTTTCTGAATCAGATATTATTTATCTTCTTTATTTTTATTATTTTTAATTGTTAGCGATATACTATTCTTAATAACTAATTTCACCTACATATTTAAATTCTGCCCACATTGCTCAGTAAGTCAAACCATAGTGACTCATTTACGATTTTTTGCTTGAAATCAAGGTGTTATTACTATGCCTTTTTACAAGAAAGAACTTTACATGTCTGTGCCCAATCCACAGTTAATTGTTTTATTCATAAATACATAACTCACCACTCATCACTGTTTGCAACTCTCTCCATCTTTCTCTCATCAGGGTGTTTGTGTTTGTAGATCCTGTTGTGTTTCCTCTGTCTCTGGTGAGTGCGCTCAAGGCTGATGTGGAGTGTGCAGACCCTGGTAGAGACTCAATGATCTACAAACGCAGAGTTTTACTGCACACAATGCTAGCTGGATTAGGAAAGAAGTGCCAGGTTGACCAGCTCTCACAGTCTCTAGAGGTTTGTGGTGTTTAAAAGCATCTGTTATATATTTTACCCATCTCATATTTATCCCATCCCACCCATTTATATATAATACCCATCCCATAGGATTTTACAATTATTTAAAAATAAAATTATATACACTACCATTGAAAACTCTCAATTTATGTACAATTTATGTATAATATAAAAATGTATAATTTTTTTTAAGAAGTCCCTTTTACACAACAAGGCTACATTTATTTGTTTAAAAATACAGTTGAAACAATAATATGGTTAAGTATTACAACAATTTAAAATCAAAAATTGTAATATTGTTAATTACTATTACAATTGAAAATATTAGTTTTCTGTTTGAATGTATTTTAAAATGTAGCTTATTCATTTGATGCAAAGCTGAATTTTCAGCATCATTCCTCCAGTCTTCAGTGTCACATCTAATCAGAAATCTTTCTAATATGCTGATTTGCTGCTCAAGAAACATTTCTTATAATTATCAATGTTGAAAACATTTGTGCTGCTTAATATTTTTTGTGTGGAAACCACGACACATTTTTTCTTGATGAATAGAAAGTTAAAAATAGCAGCATTCATTGGAAATATAATTTTTTTGTAACAATGTAAAAGTCTTTACTGTCAGTTTTGATCAATTTAATGCATTTTACTCAATAAAATAAAACTGAAATAAAATGTTCTGTGAAAAAAAAACATTGTATAGATATGTAAGTTTTACATGGGTTTTACAATATACTTTTTTTTTAAATTACATTTTAGTATATATGTATATATATATGTATAATCTTATGGAAGATATTGCAAACTTATGTGTTTGGAGAAACTATAACAGCGAATTTCAGTAGCAAAAAAACCTGTAGCACAATATCACATGTGGTGAAGCTTGATAAATATTAGGGGTTGCAGCGACCGACCGACTTCAATGACGCTTTAAGCTTGACGTCGACTAGTCGCCATGGGTTTTACAATATACTTTTTTTTTTAATTACATTTTAGTATATATGTATATATATATGTATAATCTTATGGAAGATATTGCAAATTTATGTGTTTGGAGAAACTATAACAGCGAATTTCAGTAGCAAAAAAACCTGTAGCACAATATCACATGTGGTGAAGCTTGATAAATATTAGGGGTTGCACCGACTAGTCGACTTCAATGACGCTTTAAGCTTGACGTCGACTAGTCGCTGGTCCTATAGAGGGCGCAACAGGATAAGAAATCTTTGAAGGACTTCCACATTTTTTCGCTCCATTTCCAAACAGTTAAAATGACAAATAAATGCATACTCTGAAAGCGCGTAGCTCCTACATCATGCACATGCGCGCACAGAATCATACTAGTAGTAGTGCTCACTTATGCATTCATATGAATGTAATCTTTACTGTGCTACTTTATCTGTATCTGATTTAGAACAAGCAGAAATCTGTGAGAAACATGATGACTCAAATACAAAAGAACTGATAAAAGTTAGCTGTTATAGGAGCAATAGCCATATGGGCAGCGCTGTGTCACATGCCATAGCTGTGCACAAGGTGTTTATCACAGCTCCAGACTTATTTGTTCATTAATGACATCATCAGCGACTAGTCGACTTCGACTCGACTTTCATCACATAAAAGTCGACTTTAAAAAATCATCCTGTTAATCATTTAAGATGTCCATAAAGTCTTTGCTGTAAAATCCTGTACCCTATATAACTGCGTATATTTTGTTCATTTCAGCATTTAGGTGAAGAGCTGGAGCTCCACTTCCAGGATCTCGTCACCATCCTAGAGCAGAGAACAGAAGATGGACCTTCTGATGATAATCAGTACAAAACAAGATTACAAGAGTTCTACCAACACATCCTGACTGCTGCCAAAGGTAGAAATGTCCTCAACACGGTCCAGTAAGACACTATTTATTCCAAACAAGCTCAAACATGTAGTTATTTCACACGTTTGGTCTTTTTAGATCCGTCATGTCCAGCCTCGCAAGCAGAAACTCAGCTGCCCAGTCCTGAGGTCAGCTTCCATGTGTGGACCAAAGAGGATGAGATATGTGAGCTCAACTGCTGTTATTTCAACAAATGCTTGTACCCTTAAAACTAAGAAAGCTTATTTCTGCGACAGAAAAAATAAAAATAAATAAAAGGGTAATTGTGACCTTTTTAATCTCACAATTCAGACTTTTTTCTTGACGTTCTGAGATATAAACTGCAGGTTTACTCTGTAAAAAATTAGGTAGTTTTTACAAAATAATTTTGGCAGCTGTTGTTGCCATAATAATTTTGTAAAAAAATACAGAAAAACAGAACAAACTGTAAATTTTACGCTATAAACAAGAAAATTTGAATCTAAACCAGTAAATTTAACAACGCATACTGCTACTTAAATCTATTTTGTACTTTTAACATATACTGACAACCACCATAATAACGCAGTTGGTAAAAGATGAAGCCACATGAAAAATCAAAGTTCATAACAAGTAGCTTTCCCACAAGCTGAAGTATATAGTAATATACAGAAAGTGCACAGAGTCATTCACCGAAACACAAAACACCTACATGGTGACACACATGACACTAAAATAATGCAATAAACAGTCATTAAACAACAGAAGATGTAACATAAACACCCAAATGAACATAACTGATAACATAACCTATTAAGAAACATGAATATTTAAACAAAATACTTTCAAATGTGGAGTGTCATGCAGGGACTTCTGGGAATATCAGTTTACATTCTTTGACTTTAAATTATACATTGATTTGTTCTTTTTTACTTCTAAAAACTTTACAGTCTTTTACAGTTTTTCCCTGTATATAGTATACTGTGGGAACTTACTGTTAACCTATTAACAGTTTTTTTTCCCGTAGCATTTTTATAATATTTTACAGTTAAAATTACACTAATTTTTTACAGTGTAGAGCTCACAATTGTGAGATGTAAAAAAAAATCACAATTCTGAGAAGAAAAGTTGGAATTGTTTGAGATTGTTGTAGATTGTTTGAATGAGATATAAACTGACAATTACGAGAAAAAAATCAGAATTGTTAGATAAAAAGTCACAATAAATTTTTTTATTCCGTGTTGAAAAAAAAGAGAGAAAAAGAGAATTACGATATGTAAATTCAGAGAAAAAAAGTCAGAATTAGGAGATAGAAAATCATAATTTAGAGAAATAAAAGTCAAAATTGTGAGATGTTAACTCGCAATTTCGAAAAAATGTCTGAATTATGTGATAAAAGGTGTTGATTACCTTTTCATTTTTAATTCTGTTGTGGAAAAAAAGAATTGTAAGATGTAAATGTAGAATTCAGAGAAAAAAGTCAGAATTGTGAGATGTTAACTTACAATTGTGAGATATAAAAAAAAATTGCAATTTTCATAAGAAGAGTCTGAATTGTGAGATAAAAAAGTGGCAATTTGTATTTTGTATTTGTGGTGGAAACAAAAAAATTGCTAAGATGTAAACTCAACATGCAGAGAAATAGGACAAAATTGTGAGAGTTTTGCCTTTTTTCTCTGTATTGTGAGTTTATATCTTATAATTTTGACTTTTTTTTCTTTTTCAAAATTGCATGTGAAATGATTTTTTATATTTTTATCTCATGGTGGAAACAAGCTTTCATGTAAAACAAATCCAACACAGTGCGTTTTACATTTTGTTTTAAACAGGGAATGAGCTGGTTAACTTTGCACTTATGGTTCCTACGGACCGAAACTCTGCTTGTCTGGATGAGGATGACCTGAAGCGTACCTCTGTCGTGTCCACCGTGTCCACGGACAGCGGCATAGAGGGAGACATGCCCATCAGCGAGCTCTCCTCTATAATGCTGGAGTCTCAGGGTGGCCCAGAGGAGCAGAGCAGCTCTCAGTCCTTCAACAGGAGGCCGTGTGTGCGATGTCCCAAAGCTGGCAACAGAATGACGCTCATGATGGAGGCCATTAAGGGAAATGGAGGATACAGCCTCACTAAAGAGGAAAGGAACCTCACGGCCCGGATCCTTGTAATGGGTGACGACAGAACGCTAGGACGGCTCGCCAAGACTCTCCACACTATACGGTAAGATGTTTGCATCCATTCTTTTACACATTTTACCTTTGCATTTAAAAACGTTTGAGTCTAATTTGTGATGTTTTCATCTTTCTATGTTTGTGCTCAGGAAAAGGGAGGCACGACATCTGCTGCTGACAAAGAGAGTGAATATGGAGATGTATTACATTCCAGTGACTGACCAGACGCTTTCTCCTGTTCAGGTAAAATAGATTTTGCTTTAGTTTTCATTTAAAAAACACCAGCAATGACAGCTCACTGTAATGCATGTGCTTTCCAGGAGGGTGTTCCTGAAGACATGCTGGCATTGGCAGGATATTTGGGAAGCGTGGATCGGTGGTATGACTGTAATATCAATGGTTTGGGAGCCATGATACTAAAACTGGCCCAGATGGTAATTATAACACTTTTGAAGAGTCCACAATATAAATGGGAATTTTTTTCTCATTTCTTATTTTATCGTATGTTATATTATGTTATATTATATTACATAAATACGTGTAGAATAATCATTGCAAAAGCTATGTTTACATCTTGCATGGATTTTCAAAATGACAGTATTTTTAGTTTGCCTTAACTAAGCTATATATTAAATAACAATACTAAACAGACTGAAAATGTGATATGTGCATATTTCATTCTTTTATTTTTTTTTATACTGACAAAGTGCATAATATATATATTTAACATCACTTTGTTATATGAACTACTAGTCAGAAACAACACTGATTGATACAGATATTTGTAAATGTGTTCGGTTCAAAAAGAACCGGATCATAAGAGTCATTCGTTCAGGAGTCAAACTACATTGGAGATGGTGTATATTTTTGAATCACTAAAAGGAATCGGCTCATAAAAATTATTTGTTCGGGAGTCAGACTACACTGCGGACACTGCACAGTATGTGTTTGATTCACTATGAAGAACCGTCTCATTAAAGTCATTCGTTCGAGAGTCGGAGTACGCTGGGTGTGCTGAATGTGTTTGATTCACTATTAAAAAAATTAAATAAAGGTTCATAAGAGTCATTCATTCGACAGTCGAACTGGTTGAGTTGTATTTTTTGGATTTACTGAAAAGAACCGATTTGTTTGGGAGACGGACACTGGGGATGCTGTATGTTTTTGATTAACTAACTAGCTCGTAAGAAACATTTCTTTGGCGGTCAGTTGCACTGTATGTGTTGGTTTTTCCAAAAAGAACCGACTCAAACGTGTAATTCGCTCAGCAGTTCAACGTTAGTAGTTGCGCTGAATGTTTTTGATTCACTAAAAAGAACTGGTTCATAAGAGTCATTTGTTCTGTAATCAGACCGGTTCTGGTTTTCAACCCTAGTTGACCTTCATGAGTTATTCACTGTCCTTTCTCTACTGTTACTTTAATAAGGGTACATCCGTGTAATTATTTCACTGAAATTAAGATCATGTAGGCTAACTGTTTTTAAGAGCAAGAAAATACTTGACAGCTTTAAAGAATCTGAGCAGCAATTTAACTAGAGAATTCAAGCTTACGGTAAATCTTTTCTTGGTGTTTGAAAAATGCCGTAAAAATTGGTGTTTTGATTTTGATTTTAATTTTTTTGCTATTTTCACCTATGTATGTATGTCTGTCTACAGTTATTATTTGCCAAATGAAACTGAGAACATGCTTCTCTACTTGATATAAATATATATGTATATTTAGCGATTCAGGGAGTTTTTAAACCTTCCTCTTAATTGATGTCATTGTAGAAATCAACTCAGAGTGAATCTTCAGACCCCAACACCTTCCTGCTAGATATCATCTCATACTACACACGTGTCAGCCAGCATCCGGTGCACCTTCCCATCTACTCTGTCAAGGTTGGATTGAATTGTGCAATGATTATTTTAATTTAGTCATTTAGCAGACGCTTTTATTCAAAGTGACTTACAAATGAGGACAATGGAAGCAATAAAAATCAACAAAAGAGCAATGATAAGCAAGTGCTATAACAAGTCTCAGTTAGCTTAACGCAGTACACATAGCAAGGCTTTTTTTAATTATATAATAAATAAAATGAAAACAGATATAATAGAAAAAGAATAGGGCAGACTAGTGTTAGAGGCCTTTTTTGCTTTTGTTAATTATATAATAAATAAAATGAAAACAAATAGATAGAATACAAAAAGTTTACAGAAGCTAGTGTTAGTTTTTTTTTTTTTTAAGAAAACAAGCAGTTAGTAACGAATAGAGTGTAAGTCTAAAGGGGGCAAGTTTTGTTTAAAGAATAGAATTAGAATAGAGAGTGCTAGAGTTAGAGGGTCAAATAAAGATGGAAGAGATGTGTTTTTAGGCTATTCTTAAAGATGGCTGAGGACTCAGCTGCTCGGATTGAGTTGGGCAGGTAATTCCACCAGGAGGGAACATTTAATTTAAAAGTCAGAGAAAGTGATTTTGTGCCTCTTTGGGATGGCACAATAAAGCGACATTCACTTGCAGAACGCAAGCTTCTAGAGGGCACATAAGTCTGAAGTAATGAATTTAGGTAAAGGGGTGCAGAGCCAGTGGTGATTTTGTAGGCAAACATTAACGCCTTGAATTTTATGCGAGCAGCTATTGGTAGCCAGTGCAAACTGATAAACAGAGGTGTGACGTGCATT